CACACACATATATATATATATATATATATATATATATCTTTCTATATACACACACACACACACACACATATATATATACACATACACACCGCTGTTCAGAAGTTTGGGGATCGCCTGCCACAAAAGCTTCATGCTGAGAGGACTACTCTATATTTCTGCATTCTCTCATGCTTTTAGGTTGTAAGAAGTTCTCTTTATAAATGGATATTTTGTATGAACGGTTTGCAAAGAAGTTCCCTCTGAGCAACAGTTGAATAGAAGACAGCACAAGTCACTGTTGAAAGAAACGGGAGGTTTGGTGTAAAGATTTGTGCCGATTTAAAAAAGGAACAAGTTCTGTTTCAGTGTGGAGTGCACAATAACGCCTAAATAACAAGCTGGAATGGTACCAGGCGAGCTGCTCAAGTAAAGCTATTTGTTAAAACGTCCCAGTAGAAATGGAAGGTCATGGATCACAGAAGATCAGCTGAACTTACTGTGGACTGACTCGGTTTAAAGCGCTTCAACCTGACCACTGAGCAGACTGCAGAGAAACACAGCTACCAGCAATAGTTAAAGGTCCTCTTCTGCTTTTCTGGACTGGAAAACAAAAACAACTGGAAAACAACTCTATTTGGTGGGAAAAATGGAATGTAACACTGTGGGGACACAGACTAGACGTAAACCGTAATCATTGAACTCTTCTTCTTTTGAGGCCAAATCCATTTTAAATGTGAATAATACGTTTGTTCTGAATTATTCTCCATTTGTTTCTGTTAAAAACATCAGCGTAATAGATGACTCCAAACCTTTAAACAGCAGCACACACACACGTAGGGTGAGGTAACAGCAGTGTAGAGTGATGGGAGGCTGCATGCGTGGCTGCTGTCTCACCCTCAACAGTCAATAGTGGCGCGGTTACAGTTAAAATCTACAAAGCAGCATTAGTCTTAAAGTGTTCTCTGTTTGCAGAATCCAATATTCTGTCATCGTCACAAACGACTCAGACTAAACGAGACTTCTCTTTTAATGTTGAGTCCCAAAGTGGAAAGGTGCAAAAGAGAGGTTGGGTTGGTGGTAGCAGCTGTAGAAGCCGTCACTTGGGCACGAGGCCCCGGCATTGTGGGTAAAGCGGCGATCCTGGACTTGAGGGGCTGAATGGAGAGGTCCGGGTGCTCGACTTCTTGCCTGTTCTTGGTCGACTGAGTTAAAGAAAGCAACGACAAGAGGGTTAGAGGGATTGTGGGAAGATTATGAGCCTAAACATTTAGAGGTTTTATTTACATCTTCTCTGCTCCGAACCCTTCGCTAAGCCCCGCCCCCCCACTGGAACTCAAAATGTCAGAGCTCCGACGGAGTCCACACTGTCACTAACTGCACTCCATGAAGAAATATTGTCCAAGTTATCTACTTTTCATCTAATGCGTTTGAAAGATATTTCCAGGATGCCAAACTGATGCAGCAGTGATAAAGTTACAGATCTCAGTGTAAAAGTGAACCTGGAGATCCAGACAGAAGACAATGATATTCAGTAACAACACTGTTCCTGTAAACCCCGGTAGGTCTTTAAGCACTGTAGCTAGCCTAGCATAGAACTGCTAATGCTAGATAATGATGTGCTAACTCACTCTGCTAATGCTAGCTTCACATTTAACCATGGCTAGGTCCAAATCCACTGAACCATCCTGAAAAGAGTCTATGGAGCAGAGATGGATAGTTGAAGGAGCGTAATCGCAGCTGGCTGAGGCTACGCTATGATTGGCCAGTCTGTGTGCGAGGGGCGGGACTTAGCAAAAGGTCAATTCGAGCGCCAGCCTAATCGCAGTATATGCCTCCTGACTTCATCTGTGGTCTTGAAAGCTGACAGTGACAGCTTACCCGGACTTTGGTTTCTTGAGGCTGGCGCCGGTGGGCAGAGTTGCTCCCAAGCTGCTGTGAAGGCCAGAGGCATCCACCTGGATCTCATCCTCGTCCCTAAGAGCGCTCTCCAGAGCCGCCGCCACCTTAGGGGCGATAACCGGCTCCTGATACTCTTTAGTGGTCCGAGCGGGCAGGTCCATGTCCAGCACCATGATGTTTTCAGCCTGAGAGGAACAGAGACAGACAATGCTGGTACCTTTGTATGTGTTAGCGGTAAAGATGAACTCATATTGTCAAAAGGCTGACAACAAGTATGTCAAAAATCTTGACGCCTGGAGTTTGACATTTTGTCCGTCACCATCTTGCTTTTTTGCAACCAGAAGTGAAGAGGGTGGAGCTAAGTAGAACAGGATATTTTAGTTACAATTAACTTAAACAATGAAGTGAAAACACACTTTGAAAGGGTTAACGTGGAAACGAGGAAAACATGGACAACTCCCAGACCGGACAACACCGTGGTAGGGACCTGTCAATCAAAAGGTAACCCCGCCCTAAAGCATACTCTGCTTTATGGTCTATTTGACTCTAAATGGACCATAATTTACTAAATGAACATTATGCTGTATTGAAGAAGACTTGAAACTAGAGATTGAGACCATAAACTCATGTTTACAATGTTTACTGAGGTAATAAATCAAGAGAGAAGTAGAGTCATTTTCTCATAGACTTCTATACAACCAGAGGAGTCGCCCCCTGGTGGTCAGGAGAGAGAATGCAGGTTTCACTTTCGTATTGGCTTCACTTCTCAGAGAAAGGAGGTTGCTGCCTGATAAAAATGCATATATTTTATCAAAGTAAATGACTGCATGTTATTATTGGAACAATTGGGGAAATGTTTAACATGACACCTACATGCATTCTGGATTCCTGTGCATTTTATAATGATTATTGATGAAATGTCCAGAGCTTTGTTTTGTATTGAGTCTCTTGATGTGTGAATACATGTATCAAAGTAAAGCGTGAGCAGGACGTGCAGCTTACTTTGTATCTCATGTCAGGCCTCATCATCATGGCCGTGTGAGCATGGTGACTGAGAGGCCTCCTGTAGCCGACCGCAGACAAAGGCCGGCTCATCATCTGATGGTCACTGGAGCGGACACAGAGAATGAGATGGTGTGTACAGCACAGTGTATACAGGAAGATTAAATCTTAATGTATCATAACCGTTCTGTATTATAGAGGAAAAAGCATTGTACTGAGTATTTCAAATGAAGAATTGGAACCCATATGTCTCTATAAACCTATCCACACCGAATCCAAAAGCTTGCTGTTGTGCAGATAAAAAACAAGCCCACAAACCACATAATGACTTTTGTTGACATGATCAATAGATTTCCTCAGATTCATACCATCACACAGCAATATGGATATTGATTTCACTAAATAATGTCCTCTTTTGACAAACCAGACAAAGATTATGAAGACACACGGGGAAGTATAGCGATTGAACTGGGCTGTGATGGTGAGCAGCCAAAAAGAGAGGGGCTAAACAACATACTTTGTTGTCAAGGCAACGTATGGAAATTATAGACACACACACAGAGCGCTATCCGTCTGATAATAACTCATAAAGTAAGGGGTAATGTACAGCGAGCCGTTCACTAGTGCAAAGGGAACCCCGACAAGATGAGCAGGACAGCGGCACAAAGCGGCAAAAAGACAAAAAAATAGCACGATGGATTGGAATACTGATTTGGACAATGATTACCACGGCAACAGTGGAAGCTTTCGAAGCATTCGGGTCAGCTTCAGTGTCAATGACGACTAACGGTGCAAGGGATCATAAGAAAGTCACACATCGGATCAAAGATCACAAAAGAAAGAAGGGAGCAAATATAACTTGATCCTGTTGCTCTGCTGCTGACACTAACTGATGATCATTGATGGTCCATATTAACAGATACAGATCCTTTGTTGTTTGGTTATAGCAGCTGGTCCACAAGGATCCAGACTATAGGATCAAATCATTTTAAACTCTCTGAAGTCTATAAACCATCAAACATTCTAAATGTTATCCTCAGTTATATTCATTTTTTTGTCTTCATAAAAACACACAATTCAAATGATTGGAAATAAAAGATTGCATTTTTATGGATTAAACAAATCTAGTCAGTAGTTTTAATGATGTATTATTAGAGCTAGTGTAAACAGCTCATAATTCATCTCTAATATCTATTTATGTTGTTGTGAAAACATCTCCTTCAAACTACTGGATTTAGTCAAGTTTCTCACCAACACTACATTTTACGAGATCACATTGAACACATCATGATAACGTTATAATTTACCTTTGTTCAATACTCATTTTCACTGAACAGAGCCTGAACGCATCATCATCATGTAACGGAACAGAGCCTGAACGCATCATCATCATGTAACGGAACAGAGCCTGAACGCATCATCATCATGTAACGGAACAGAGCCTGGACGCATCATCATCATGTAACGGAACAGAGCCTGGACGCATCATCATCATGTAACGGAACAGAGCCTGGACGCATCATCATAATGTAACGGAACAGAGCCTGGACGCATCATCATAATGTAACGGAACAGAGCCTGGACGCATCATCATGTAACGGAACGGAGCCTGACCGCATCGTAATGTAACGGAACGGAGCCTGACCGCATCGTAATGTAACGGAACAGAGCCTGACCGCATCGTAATGTAACGGAACAGAGCCTGACCGCATCGTAATGTAACGGAACAGAGCCTGACCGCATCATAATGTAACGGAACAGAGCCTGAACGCATCATCATCATGTAACGGAACAGAGCCTGGACGCATCATCATCATGTAACGGAACAGAGCCTGACCGCATCATAATGTAACGGAACCTGACCGCATCATAATGTAACGGAACGGAGCCTGACCGCATCATAATGTAACGGAACGGAGCCTGACCGCATCATAATGTAACGGAACGGAGCCTGACCGCATCATAATGTAATGGAACGGAGCCTGACTGCATCATAATGTAACGGAACAGAGCCTGAACGCATCATAATGTAACGGAACGGAGCCTGAACGCATCATAATGTAACGGAACAGAGCCTGAACGCATCATAATGTAACTGAACAGAGCCTGAACGCATCATAATGTAACTGAACAGAGCCTTAACGCATCATAATGTAACTGAACAGAGCCTTTGTTCGTTAGCGGTGCTGCTAATGTTACTAGCTCTCCTGTCAGTTTAAACATGGATTGGTTGTTAACAATGTAACATTATCAGAGATCTGCGACTAAAAAAGCATAAATGATGTCCTGATCACATATTTTACTGAACGATCATCAGTAAAACTTTATTTCACACTGTGATGGTTAACGTTAAACTGTAATTAATCCACGGTTCACATGTGTGCTGAACCGTGAGGGGGATCCGTACGGATCGACAGTGATCCGTTACACAGCTAATGCTGACCAAGCACAACGGATTGGGGCATCTCTACAAAAGCTTGTGATGGCCACGCCCACATGTTCCTGTCTTTAAGCGGTGAAGCAGAGGACAATCACTGCGACAAATCATACCACACTTTACCTATAAATACTTGATTTAAAACCATGAAATACCATGAAAGCTGCACATCCTCTCTTTAAAAGACGTTGGATCCCTTCTAGCCGGATGCAAGGATGCATGCTGGGATGATTCTGTGACTTACTCCTCTATACGTGTAATGGGCCTCGTTTTCCAGTATTCGTCCTCCTCATCAAAGTAAGCCCGGTTGACTATTTTGTTCTTCTCCTCTAAGGGGATGAAGTTCTCGATGATCAAATGCCTAAAAGACAAACAAACAAGCATTTAGACAGGAGCAGTACACATTATACACACACACACACACACACACACACACACACACACACACACACACA